TCTCTCATTTAGACTTCACATGAGAGGCAATACATAGCAGTGTTTGTTTTTCTGAATTTAGGGTTTTTTGCTTAGCATTATTTCCAGAAAGCACTGACTCTGTGGAGGATAATACAATTTTAATTTTGTCACAGTCCAACACAAGTTGGTGGCATGACCTCAAGTTAGCAGGCTGGCTCCTGCTGGCTGGAGAGGGGGCTGCCCTGGCACAGACGATACTTAAGACAGCTGGGTGTTCCTACCATGCCTGACTTTACCCTCTGTGTCCTGCTTCTGACTGCTGCTTACTGCTCTACTCTGTGGTCTGAACACAGATCACAGTACCTTCACGTTCAAGCTGGCTTTCCTAAGTTGAGACATTTTAGCTCCTTTGACTGTTTGAAAGTTATCTGATCTGCTACAGGCCTTCTCTGCTCTCTGTTCTCCCGACCCAATCCCTCAGGCTCGTCCGTCCCTAGCACTGCAGCACCACCAACTACGGCTCGGCTCGCCACCCCAGTGTCCGTGCCCCCTGTGGAGCCCACAGACCATGACTCTTGACCTCCCTCCCCTGCCCTGCCACCCCCAACCTCCAAGACCAGCAGGTACTCTCTATGAACGCACTAGCTGGACAAGCCAGTAAAACAGGCAACACACTCGGAAAATCCAGACAGGAAACAGAAACCAAGGAACAAAGCACCCACCCAACAAAGGCAAATCCAGAAATCAGCTCCTAGACCTGCAATCACCCCAAGCTGAGATGCCCGGATGCCAGCGTAAGGACACAGTAACAGCCAGGACAGTATGTCCCCACTAGAGCGCAGCTGTCCTACACAGCAGGCCCTCAACATTCCACCATAGCCAAGAACAAGAAAAAGACCTTAACGCCAACTCTATGAGGATGACAGAGGTCCTTACAGAGGAAATTAATAAATCCCTTAAAGAAAGCCAGGAACACAAACAACTGGAGGAAATGAATAAATCCCTTAAAGAAAGCCAAGAAAAAAAAGTTAAAGGAAACCAATAAAACTGTCCAAGACTATGGGGAGAGACAGCTGGAATTAGGGGGTAGCTGGGGTATGGTATGGAAACTTCCTGGAACCTGTCAGTGACCTAGTGAGGACTCCTAGTGATGGAGGATCCGAAGTCTAAACTGGCCATCTTTTGTGACTGGGAAAGGCTTCCGGTGTCAGGACTGGGTTGTATTTGGTTGAGTTGTTAGCCAAGGGATTCCCGTGGAGATCCCAGATGTGCTAATAGAGAGTCGCTCTCCACAAACTGGCAGCAAGGCCCCATTGCCAAGGACAACATCTGCACAGTTCATTGAATGCAGAGAGGTCGAGCTGGTGCCCACATGGAGCCTTCACACCTATGTTCTAGTCTCTGGTGCAGGAAGGTACTCTTCAGGATACAGAAAGAGAAATCTGGATACCAACCAGCCTTTGACCAACAATCTGTCCTGCCTGTAAGATGTGCTGGGGCAGTGTGCTGCAGAACCTGTGGGAGAGGCCACCCATGTCTGACTTAACTTGAGGCCCTCTCCACAAGAGGGAGCCCATGGTCAACACTGCTTGGGTGGCCAGGAACCAGAAACTGGATGGCCCAAGAGATCTGGGGAGGAACCAAATATGACTGGTCTAAAAAACAAAAATCAATAAAATGACTCCTAATGATATTCTGCTATACGCATAGATCAGTGCCTTATCCAGTCATTACCGGAGAGGCTTCCTCTGGCAGCAGATGGAGCGGGTGCAGAGACCCACAGCCCGACATTATGCAGAGACAGAGTCTCAATCAGAGGTCTCCATCAAGTCCCTTCCCCTGCCACTTAGGGAATCCCACGGAAAGGGGGACGGAAAGATTATAGGAGTCAGAGAATGGAGGACACCAGGAAAACACGGCCCACTGAATCAACGAGGCAGGTTCAAGGTTCACAGAGACTGAAGCAGGAGCACAGGACCCGCAGGGGTCTGCACCAGGTCCTGCGCATACGGTGTGACTGCTAGCCTGGCGTTTTTGGGGGACCCCTAACTGTGGAAGCCAGTGTGTCTGTCACCGATTCTTTTGCCTGCTCTTGAGGCTCTTCTGTTGGGCTGCCTTGTCCTGGGTTTTGCTTTGTCGTGTTTGGTGGCTGTCTCTTTCAGGCCTGCTGTTTTCTGATGAGAGCTGGAGAGGGAGTGAATCTGGGGGAGAGGGGAGGAGAAAGGAGGGAGGGAAAACTATGGTTGGGGTGTACTGTATGAGAGAAGAATCTATTTTCAATAATAAAGAGGAAGTTATCTGATTCCTACAATTTCTTAACGGCAGTACCGAGTTGTAGCTAACCAGCAGTGCCTCCTCTCCAGTCCTTACGTCCCCTGCCCTCCAGCCCTGTTCTCCAAACAGCAAACTACTGGAAAGAGTCCATTTTCATTTGCCGCTTTACATGTGGACTGCGTGTCTGACTTTCAGTGTGAGCAGCCTGGCTCTGTAGGTATTTGCATGAGTAAATAACATGAGGGTGAAAAGCCTGACCGTCTTGTGCACTTCTGTGTCTAGCTTAAGAACACCTTCCGGATGGATGAATTTAACTTGTTTAATTAGTTTGTGTGTGTGCCTGCACATATATGGAGGTCAGAGGACAACAACAACCTCAATACTCGGAGCTCTGCCTCTACCATGTCCATTCCACGATCAAACCCAGGGGCTGAAGCTCAAGAACCATCTCAGGAGCCCTCGAAGGAATGGGCTTCATTCCAATACATTTGCACATTTCTAGTAATCGAAAAGAAAAATCACATGACCACACACACAAGTTTCAAAATTAAAAAAAAAAAAAAAAAAAAAAAAAAAAAAAAGAACCAAACATTACTGTACTAAGCTGGCCTAGGTCTGAGTTCAGCTGTATTATAAAAGTTCCCAAGTACTAGATACCCTAGGAGGAACAGTGCCAACTATCTCAAATAAAAATCACTGACAGAATTCACTTGCAAAGGTATGTGTCACATTTGCTATTCACTGACTCATCATCGGTGGTAAGGGGAGACTGTTCTTAGATAAAAATCTATCTGTTTTATTTATCTATTTATTTATTTATAGTTTTTCTGTGTAACTGGCTGTCCTGGAACTCACTCTGTAGACCAGGCTGGTCCTGAACTCAGCGATCTGCCTGCCTCTGCCTCCTGAGTACTGGGATTAAAGACGTGTTCTACCACCGCCCAGCTCATATATGAATTTTTAAAAAGTATACAAGAAATGTGTGTTGATTGTAAAAAAAAAAAATCTATACAGAACTAGCAATCTTCTTAGTCAAAAGTAACAGCAGTACTAATACCTTCGTGTGGGCACGTGAGTGTAGGCACGTGTGCCACAGCACATGTGTAAGTGCAAGAGCAGCCTCAGGTAGGTTTGAAGTCTCTCATTTGCAGCTGGGTAAGCCAGGTGGCTGGCCCTCTACCCTCCCAAGACTATCTCATCTCCACCTCCACACTCGCTAAGGGTGCACTGGAATCACAGACAGGCACTACTGTGTTTGGCGTCACGTGAGTTCTGAGGCTCTCAGCTGCCGTTCTCAGGCTGCACACCGCCCCAGCTCTGCCATCCATGTTTAAGTCAATGGGTAACATGTTGGTTTAGATAAATGTACACACACGTGCATATACGCGCGCGCACACACACACACACACACACACACACACACACACACACACACACTTTTAAACAGGTGTAAATGTGTGTGCATGAGCATGTGGGAGCAAGAAGACACCTTCAGGTGTCTTTCCTTTGGAACGTTGTCCACTATCTTTTGAGGGAGGGTCTCTCACTGGCCTGAAGCCTGAAAATCAAGCTGAACTGTCTGGCCAACAAGCGGCAGGGATCCTTCTCTGAGGGACCCTTCTGTCTCTGCTTCTCCACTGGGATTCTAAGTGTGTGCTACCAAGGTTGGCTCGCCTGCCTGCCTGCCTTCAATTCAGATTCTTTTGCAAGCATTTTACCTTCTAACTCTTCCCCCCAGCCTCCATACAGCTCATTTTTGATCTAAGAAAAATAGACACAATCAGCCACTATTTTGACAGTACATGTAAGAACTACAGTTAACTATCTGATGACAAAATGGTAATCAATCTTCTTTCAAATCATGGAAGAAGGTAATAGTTCAAGAAGATGAAATTGAAGCAGTATTACCTTAAGAGTGTCCTTACGGGATTAAGTGGGTTTAGGCACAGGATGTCAGGCACATGACACCTGTCATTTCTAAAAGCTGTCATCAACATTATAACAACATTTCAATTATGTTGCTAATAATGCACCAACCCTATAGGAAGTTAAGTGATTGAACTAAAAAGTCAGAAATAAGGTTTAAGAATACAGAAGAGTTAAGATTCTGAGGCTGGGAAGACTGCTCAGTGGTGGGCAATTGCCTAGCATGTATCAGACCCTAAATTCAACTCTCAGCACTGAAAAATTAATAAATAAATGAACAAATGAATAAATATTTTGAGAGAACTGAACTATCGCATAAATCTGGGGTTCTTCAAAAAGTGAAATAAAAATCTACTTGGATGTGATTTTTGTACAAAGCTATTAATAAACAAGACGAAATATATTGCTGTTATCTCAAGGGTAAAGCCACACCTTACTAGACTTTTGGACTTCTATGCAGTATGTTATACAGTTACCATCCTGTGACTACAGACTGCAGAGCTCAGGGAAGAAAGCTCTTAGGAGGAAGGCCAGGAACCGACCGAGAACTGCACCTGGCCACTAGAACAGTAGCAGACCTCTTACAATGGTTTCCAGGCCTGAGATACTAAAAGGTCTGGGTGTAGATGCTGTGTTTGGGAAGTACGTCTGTGCACGTCCTAGGGAACTTGGGAGCACCTAACAATGCTGTCCCATTACTACTGCCTGTTAACTGCACAGCCGCTGTAATAACAGGTAAGCACTCAGCTCTGCAGAGTGGAATCAAATGCCACAGCCAACAGGAAATTCTCCGACTTCCTCCAAAGATAAACAAACAAGGCAAAGAGAGCTGAACCTACCTCTCTCTTTGCAAAGGACAAAAAGAAACTCCGCAGCAATCTGCTTGACTCCAAGGTCAACGTGTGTCATGAGGCGCACCAGCTTATTCCTCACAGTTGAGCCAACTTCAGGTCGGTTTGTCACGTCCCTCAATGGCGGTAAAACCTGACGGCACAAATGAAAACAACCATCATCGACTGAGGGTCCTGGGGTACGTGAGAACGGTACCATGCAACTGGTCAGTCTTAGAAGATACTACACTTAATTTTACAAGAGTAACAAAATAATGTTAGCTTCCAAATAAAATGAAATAGACTGTCGTCATCATCATCATCAACAAGCAGACCTCAGATAAGCTCATGTGTGTAGTAAGGTTCTGTGTGGACGAACCACGTCTTTCCTGTGTCACCCGGTATCTCAACACCTGCAGTGCTTCTGGTGCCCAGCGAAATCAATTTACAAGTCCCTATCGGTTTCTCTTTCTGGCTGGGAATGGCAGCACCCACAAGCACATGGCAGGCTGAGGGAGGAGGCCGAGAGCACAAAGTCTGTTTCAGGGACACAGCAAGACTTCCTCCAAAGCCAACAGGAGGGGCGAAGCCAGTGGAACGCTTTCCGTGTAAGCATGAGGACCTGACTTCAATACTCAGAAACCATGGGAAGTCCAGGTGTGGGCTGTCGGCTTGTAATGCTAGCACCGGGGGAGGATCCCGGGGCCTAGTGGCCAGCCAGTCTAGCCCAGCTGGACAGTTTCAGGACAGGGAGAGAGAAGGGGAGGAGAGAAAGCAGATGGCGTTTAAGAACCAACACTCCATCCGCACCTCTCCAATGCGCCAGTGCCTACACTTTCCCACTCACTCTTCCACACACTTCCTTAGTAGCCCCAACATACTGACTTGATTCTTTTAAGTCTAGCAGCATACTCAGCATTTATTGTTCTTAAATCTGTACTTATGCTTTTTTGTTGTTTAATTTTATATTAAAAATGGCTATTTCAGGTTGAATATTCCTAACTCCAAAATATGAAACCTTTGAGTACTGACTGACATGATGCCATAAATAGAAATTCCATGTGACAAGGGAAATGAATTTCATGTGATGGTTAAGTGAGGTGTGCTAAAAAGGTGTAAAGTATCTTAAAGCTCGGGTATAAGGTGTATATAGAACATGAAAGAATTTCATATTTACAGTTGGGTTCCACTGTGTAATCTATGCAGGTAGCCCCCAAACTCAAAACTATAAATCTGAAACACTTTTAGACCCAAGCATTTGGGGAAGAGACATCCTTTCTTCACCACTCAGTGATTTTCTCCATGCTAGCTGCACTAGAACACACACGTACACATGTACACGCACGCACGCACGCACGCCTTCTGCAGGTCTCTGTGCCCTGAGATCCCCCCACTACTCCACTCTTCCTTCCCCACCCCCACTACCAGCCCTCTCCAGTCCTTCTCATGCTCTAACCACCTGCACAGCCAGTGCTCGCTGCCTCTTCCTGTTCTGATTCTTACGAAGCAGCGCCCATGCTCTAGGGTGTGTCCGTCTTTCTCAGCATTCCTCTCATAAGCCCAATGCTCATCCTAACATCTTATTTATTTATTTTTAAAGATTTATTTATTTATTATGTACACAGAAGAGGGCGCCAGATCTCATTACAGATGGTTGTGAGCCACCATGTGGGTGCTGGGAATTGAACCCAGGTCCTCTGGAAGAGCAGTCAGTGCTCTTAACCACTGAGCAATCTCTCCAGCCCCTAATATCTTTTTTAAAAAGTAAGTTCTATAAGGACAGTTTCCCCCTTTCTTGATTAGTTTCTTCTCAGTGTCTGGAATATTATAAGTGTCCAATAAATACTTGTTGATTTAGATGGGAAAATGAATAACTCCAAGTAATTTTCATTAAATGATGTGCTGCTCTATTTTCTGTCCCTGTAAGAAAAGACCCAAGGCATGCTCACTTTGCAAAGAAAACTGTTTTATCTAGTTTACAGTTTTGGAGATTCAACGCTCAAGATCAGGTGATCCTCCCCACTGGCTCTACTTCTGGTGAGGCCCTGCTGGGGTAGTGTCACAGAGGCAGGCGTTTGTGGGAGCCGGTGACTGAAGGAAGGGTCAGGCCAGCTCCGCTGGCTTGGTGAGAGCCAAAGGCCCCGCAGGAAATCTTTAACCCCGCGGAGGCAGCGCCCCAGCGACCTGTGCACTCTCCATGAGGCAATACATCCAAAAGTTCCACATCATCTCCCACCACTGCCACTGAGGACATCTGATTTCTAACATGTGTTCATGGAGGAAAAACTGCACCCAAACCATAGCAAGTGCCTTCTATATGAAGAATGAGTCCTTGTGCTAGGAAATGAAGCACATTACAAGTTGGAGGATGATTTACTGTGCACCTATTCAGACTATATACATATAGCATTTATTTAATCTATTTAACTAACTGTTCCCCTCCCATCTCTTTTTCTATAGTGAATGTATCAGAAAGTACAGTGATTGGAAATACAGCTATAAATCAAAACAGAGAGAAAAAATGTCAGACAAGTAAACTACTCAAATGCTTATGTTTATAAACATCTCTAGAAGGGTGGGGCTAACACCCCACCAGGGATAAGGTAATTGCACAATACATTCTTATTTGATTGAGTTAATTCTACTGGGTTTATTTCCTATTTCTAGAAGAATGAGACACATGATAGGTGATGTCTACAGTAGATACCTTAACATCCAGTGTGCACAAATCTAGACAAAGATTAACATGCAAAAATTTGTTAGCTCCTTTCCTGGGTTTCTTAAGGATTTGACTACTTTTTTTTTTTCTTTTCCGAGACAGGGTTTCTCTGTGTAGCTTTGCACCTTTCCTGGAACTCACTCTGTAGTCCAGGCTGGCCTCAAACTCACAGAGATCCTCCTGCCTCTGCCTCCCGAGTGCTGGGATTAAAGGTGTGCGCCACCACTGCCCGGCTCTTGATTACTTTGTTGTTGCATGTCACTCCCAAAAGGCACATGAACTTCCCCTCACATTATCCCTCAACAATTTTTTGCTAAGTTGTATCTAGCTTCTCTTTGTACCACAGTATCTCTTCTGTAAGTCCCTAGACTAGTACAACCTGGGTCAGCCCTTTCCATGGCTTTCATTTGTAATTGCTCAAACAGAGCACTCCAGGCCAGTTTCCTTTGGGCATGCATGAGTTAGACTTAATAAGGCAGTTGTTACTACATGTAGTAACTAGTTAGACATAACTTCCACTACAATATCACCAAAGCTAATGATCTGTCACTTTCCCTTGGTGCTAGAGATTGAGTTTGTGGCCAAGCACATGCTCCACCTGTGAGCCACACCCTGAGACCACGCGCTACATTAAGTTCTGCTGTCTTGAGCACTATCTACAGTGCATCCTCTTTAGAAGTTTGATTCCTTCTCTTTTCTTCTTCTCCCTCCTCCCTTTCTTCCCATTCTTTGAAGCCCAAGGACCATTTATTAGAGTCCTAAAGAAAAACAACAGGACAGACAAGCTGCATGTTTTGGCAGCTGCTAGGAGGAAGATGGAGAAGAGGCAGAGGAAGACGTGTCCTCTGAGTTAGACCAGCACTGGAAGTCTGTAAACAGTTGTGGAAAGGGGGTAGGGAGTGTCAGGGCCAATCTCCACGGAACAGGCAAGAGGACAGAAAAGTGGCAGGCTGAGCAGTAAAGCGTGAGCAAAGCAGCTGGGGCAGGGGAGTCCAGGACAGGGGAGTGCATTCACCGTCTCCCGTGCTGAATAGACTGCGCTCTGTGCGTTCTCTAAGGTTTCCTGGGTTCAAGTACGATCCCTAGTGTGGCAGTTGGTGGTGAGCTGACCTTTAGGAGCTGAGGCAACTGGAAGGTTTTCAGGTTCACCGAGGAGCTGTTCCCAAGGGCATCAAGGTAACTCTGATGAGAGCCTCAAGCTTGCAGGAGAGCAAGATGTTACAAGCCAGGGTGAGCTCCTTCCTCCTTGCACACATGCTTCTGACACATGTCATGCGGTCCTCACTAGAGCCTTATTCTTTAATCTCCAGGGCTGAAGGAATCTACTTTCTCTGTCGAGTTAGGCTGCCTCAGGTATCTCATTATAGTAACTATGAGCAGACTGACATGGAAAACTGGTACCATTGGTAGGGCTGTTTACTGTCACTGTATCTGAAAATGGAGACAGCTTTGAACTGGGTGACTAGAAGAGGCTAGAAGAATTTGGAAGAACATGTTAGAAAGGCTTGAATGCTGTAAACAGAGTTCAGCTGAAGGTTCTGGTAAAGGCTCAGAAAAGGAAGAAACTAGGAAAGAATATTAGGTGGAGATGAGACTCTGATGTGAAAATAGAAGAAAGCCATCACTGTTAGACTGTTACAAAGACTCTGACCACAGTGAATCCCTGTCCTAAGACACTGCAGAGGCTGCGATTAGGAATGCTGGACTAGTTTATTTGGCTGGAGAAATTTCAAAACGATAAAACATTTGGGTTATGATATTAGTGCTATGGCTACTGTTAGATTTATAGTAAGAGTTGGAAGTAAGAGGAAATGGAATAGAAAGATTTATAAAACTTGCAGCTTGCCAAGGAAGGAATAAAAACCTCGACTGAAGGAACGGCTTAGGAAGGTACACTGAGCGACGGCTAGGGACTGGCAAGAATGCCAAATATGAGTTTGTCTAAAAGCCTTGAGGCCGCTCTCCACCCCAGCCACAGGCCAAGAGACTTTCAGGAGAGCACCGTCTCAGGGACTGAGCCAGGGTGCTCTCTCCTGGCTCACTGTCCACGACCGTCTCAGGACTTGTGTCCCTGTCCAGCGGGTCAAGTCCTCTGCCTGCAGCAGTGAGTGGCTCAGGTAGACAGGAGCAGAGTTTTCCCATCAGAGCAGATTTTCCTCCACCTACGCGGTGCTAGTTCTCAGGTCTGCAGAATGTACGACTCGTGAGATCGTGATGGCGTCAACCACAACCTCAAAGAAGGCAGGCAGAAATCTGCTGCAGGCTCAGAGCTCCTGCAATGAGGGCCTGGTGGGATGATGCACAGTGGAGATGCTGAAGTGGAGCTACAGGAGGGACCCAAGAAACAGAGGGTGACCAGCAACATCAATGTGTCGCACTTACTGAGGAAGGCCATGGATGTGTCAGTCATCTGGGCCACGGCCACAAAACTGTAGGAAACTACAGAGTGCGTAAGATGCCAAATGTTACTGTCTCCCCAAACTGCTCCCCGTCCCTGGGGCTTTGAGCCGATTCCCTAATTTGACTTCTCTTTTGGAATGGAAATATATACCTGGTGGCTGTGGCACCGCTGCATACTGGAAGTAAAAAGTCATTTTGATTTTACAGATTGGAGGAATTTGCCTTGAGTTTCCAAAACTTTGTATTTTTTGTTGCTATTGTGTGTGCACATGCATGCAGGCATATACATGGAGGCCAGAGGACATTGTGTGTCTTTTATTACTCTCTGCCTTATTCCCTTGAGGCGGTGTCTCTCATTGTAATTGGACCTACACTAATAGCCAGTAATCCTCATCAACCCTGCTAATGCCCCCTACAGTGCTTGAGGTTAATGCATGGCCATGCCCGACGTTTTTATGTGGGCAATAAAGATTTGAACTTGGGTTCTCCAGGTTATGTGGCAAGTGTTCTTATCCACTGGGCCATGACCCCAGCCACCTGTTACTGTTTTGAGATGGGGTCTCACTCTGGAGCTATCACTATGACTGTTACGGGATGCTAGAACGAATGAAGACTATTTTGCACTGTGAAGACATAAACACGGAACATGAACAAGTCAGCCGAACACTGTCTTTCCCTTTCTCTGCTCCCTGTTTGCTGAGACAGGAACGAAGAGCTACATGTTCCTTAGGTCACAACTAGAAGATGCTGTGCTGCCGAGCCTTCCTTACTGTGGTGGACCAGGAGCCACACACGTCGGGACTTCCATGTCAGGTGATGTCCTGCATCTCCCTGGGGACGGCAGTGAGAAGACTGTCACTGGATGTCATCTCTCAATCTTGGACCTCCAGAATGATGAGACGCACCCCTCTCCTGCGGTAATCTCCACAGGCTAACACACCTTATAGCTTGTTACCTTTTTACCTGTGCTATCTCAACCCTTCATCTACACTGCGGTGTTTCCCAAGGAGAGACGGGGTTTTATACTCTTGTGCATCTGTACAGGATGTGGCTAACAAATAGGTTTCTTTAGGTGTCCATATTAGAAAAAGTAAATACAGCCAGTTTACTGGAACCTTGACCTTGCTTTTATACTAACAAGTAAAAAACATGAAAAATGAAGTATTTTCTTTTAAGAAAAAGAAACAATGTTTATCTTTATGTGTATGGGTATTTTGCCTGCAGGTGTGTCTGCACAAGATGTGCATGCAATGCCTGTGGGGGCAGAAGAGGGCACTGGAGCCCCCAGAAATGGAGTTACAAACGAATGTGAGCTGAATTGTAGGTGCTGAGAATCGAACCTGGGTCCTCTGGAAGAGCAAGCAGTGCTCTTAGCCTGAGCCCTCTCTCCAGCCCCATCAAATACTTTCATTTATTATTCTTCACCGAGTTCTTCTGGTTAAGGTAGAATGCTTTAAAGTAATCAAACTCATAAATAAGTGGAGCTGATTAGGCTCTCTGGCTGAAGCAGTGGTCATGCTTTTAAGGTGTCTGTTTAGAAGGGATCCGAGGCCCTGCTTTCTCATGTCCTCTCTTAGCACTGTTCTTGCGCTTGACACACAGTAAGGTATCGACTTAATTTTCACCACGTGTCCAAATGACCCTGAGTAGTTCATAAACAGCCATGAAGTAAAGGTGCTGCCAGGAAAGGCATGGGAGAGAAGAGGGAGCACCAGAGAGGAGGAGGGGGATGACCGTATTAATGTGGGCTACACGAGAGGAAACCACTACACGCCCAGCAGTCACAATGAGCAGTGCACCCTGACTGTCTAGGGCTCTGAGGATCGCTAGGTTTGTGTTTCAGCATACATACCTGGGAGTCATCCGCATAGAGATGGGTTCAGAACCAGCACACTGGGCTGTGATCAACAGGGGAGGAGAGGGGCAGACACGGTGCACTCGTCTGAGGCACACAAACATTCGGGGTTTGGAAGATGACCAGCAATGGTCTCCACTGTGTCCCAAGATCCAAATGAAGTAAGTGTTTCAAGGAAGTGGGAACTTACACCAGATGCTCCAGAGGGCAGGCATGTATGTGCCTCGGTTGACAGAGGGTGTGCCTAGTATGCACCAAGTCTTGGGATGGATTTCCAGTACTGCATAAGTCTGGTGTGGTGGCGCACAGTTGTAATCCTAGCACTTTGGAGGTGGAAGCATGAGGATCAGATGTTTGAGGTCATCCCTAGCTATACAGTGAGTTAGGGGACAGTGTGAGCTCCGGGGAACTCTGTCTCCTTTTGAAGGAAAAGGAGTTGTAAAATATATTGGAACATCCTGGGAAGCTACTTGGGGGTTGGTAGTTTTAAATTTAAGGAGACTAGTCAGTTCTGGTGTCCAGTAGCTCGCCACGGTGGGCAGAAGGCTTACTCAACCATTTGGTTGTTCTTTTCAGAAGGGCAGACCCAGGATGGGTGCAGTCACAGCTGTCTGGACACAGTGACCACAGTTCTGAACCGCACGTGAGCTTGTCTAGGCAGCAAGACAAGCAAGGGCACCGAAGAGTGAAGAGAGTGGCATGTTCCTCGTGGGACGAGACAAGCCTGGACTAACTAAGGGGCACTAATAGAAGGTGTCTGACACTGAAATTTTAAGGAGTCTATTACTGTCTTGAGTTTAAGATAGAATCGAAAAGTTCAAAGCTTATTATATCTTCTCAGGTTATGTCCCAATCCATCAGTACATCACGTGCACTTTCAAGACACAGCCCAAAGGATGAACTCTGGCCACTACTGTCCTTTCTAAGCCTTTGCCAGCTGTTTCTAGGATTGGTCTAACTATGCCGCAGGGCGGCATCCACTCACGCTCCACTATGCTCTCGTACACACAGCATTTGAAGTATGTTTCACACCGACAAGGTCCTACAAACCCTTGGAAAAGACTCCAGTGTCTTCTCATCTTATTTAGAGAGAATCCAAAGTGCTAGACAACCTAGCCATCACCCTGTGCACCCTGGACTGCGCTGACTGCACCTCCCTTCTGCCTTCTGTCCAGGCACACTGGCTGTCGTGTGTGCCTGAAGCACACCAAAGCTTCTCATCTGAGAACTCTAAACATTTCCTTTCTGATAGATTCTTCTCAACATTCTCAGAGACACACTTCTTATTTCTCTGACTTGCTGCTCGCCGTCACTTCTTCAGGAGGCATTCTCGTATCTCAATTCTCCTTTCCCTTCTTTAGAACACTTAGCATACCTTCTATTACAGTTATTTAAAATTATCTCCCATAAGGTAAAGCCTGTAAGAGTAAAGAACTCATGAATACTGAATACTCAGAACTGTTTAACAGCAGCACATAACAGACCTCAGTGCTGGATACATGATGACTGAGTAACCATGTACACAAGATCCTTTATTCTTGTCTGGATAAATGATGAATGACTAAACAATGTTCACAAGATCACTTACTCCTGGCTGGAAGGTTTCCGATTAGAATTCATTAGTTCTATGTTAACAACATATATACAAAGTTTTAAATTTAAGATGTAAGCAATTACCTGATCTTTGAGAAATTTTCGGATATTCCGATGGGCTCGAGAACACTCTGTTAATAAGCTGAGAACTGGAGTTAGACCCTCTCTATAGCTGCTTCCCTATAAAGAAAACCATGCATGCTGTATTAGTCCAGTTCCTAAAGGTACGCCTCTCCTCCATAACCTGAGAATACGAAGACATTTTTTTTGAGGGGAAGAGGGGGAGAGGAGGAGGACACATCTTATGATACCAAAGCTTACAAACAATTTGTAAAGTTACTTTAAATAGTATTTCCATAAGTTGTCTCCATGTCACTATCTAGTGTTGTCTGTTTTTCCTACACTTTCTAAAATTTACACTAGTTCAGCTAACGTACTTCAATGAAGCAAAGGATTCTGGGACCCGCCTAAGGCACACTGCTGCCTCCAGCACATTCACAGAGGAGCTGAGTGACAGAGGAGAGAAAACTGAGAAGGAAACACTTCTGAACAAGTCATTTCGGAGTAAGTTAGTACTAACATTTACAAAGCAGCTATGCAGGGCAGTTAGTCATTTTTCCTTTGCTTTCAGACACTAGTTATAAATTTGGTGTAAAAATACAATTTTCAACATAAAAAAACTCACTTTATTTCTACCAAGTAATTATTATTATGATAAAATGCTTTTAAAAGTACAACTATCGGCCATGCCAAGTACAAAGAACAAGCTAGTTGTGAACTCGTGCTGTGTGGCCTGTCTCTGTGCAGGGCACACTGGTCTTTAGATGTACCTTCCAAGGACTCCACTCCAGCAGCCTTACCTTGTCAATTCTCTTCTCCATAAAATTGAGTAAAACATAAATGGCCTCCATATTCATGCCATTGTATACCAGGGTATTGTTTTTCAGAGCGGTGTCTTTCTCGGCTGTTTTATCACTGGGCAGTTCATCTAGAGTCGCCGCCTCTTGAGCTGTTTCTTCATGGGTTAATGGACAAATGAGAACATCCAAACAAGAGACTGGAACATTGCTTAAAAGGTTGACGGCATTGCTGAAAGGCAATTTGAAAATACAATATTTTAGTTTGACTGAATAGGCTTTTAAAATGCAAGCATAATACAAAGTTTGGAGGTGACTTTTAGGAGTCAATTAAAATTTTTCTTTTTCAAAATGAGCCATTAATATTACTTGGCATTTACTAAGGGAAAATAAAGACCCGTCTCAAGCATACATGTGACAGATTAAAAAGAAGCGATGTTAAATGGACAGACACAATCACAGGATGTCACGTCACTCTCTGGAATGCTAAGACGGGAATTAGCAGCTGGAATGCCAGCTCTTTAATTCTCTGTGATAACGCTGGCTCTGAATTCTCTTCAGGGGCTTGGACTCCTTCTGTGGATCCATACTGTTTACCACCCCTTAGATTACAACATGATACCCTTGAGAAGCAATGTGTGGGAGCAGCTTATCAGGGGAACATCATCCAAATAAACACTAGAGGATTAGGATTAGTTTCTTCTAGTGTACAAAATACAGTTTTTAAGTTATCTTATTTTTTTATATGACACTTTCAGGGAAAAAGAAATGGTACTTCCCCCCCCCCCCCCTCTCATCATCGGGTCTGTTGAAGAGGCCAACACTGCCTGTTTCCAGTCTCTAGCCCAGGCTGTTCTGCTTTTCAAGGACTATACCCAAACCTAGGACGCACACCAGCAGGGGGAACCCAAACCTTGTATTGTTGGCATTCCCTAAGTCGATTCTGTTGCTCAGTACACACGAGGCTCAAATGTGTGTAGAAATTCAGAATCAGGCATGTTTTCAGTGTGCATACTTTCCTCCCTGTACTCTTTCGTATTTCTGTCTACCAGGAGAGGCAGTGTTTGCATGGAACTGGATCTTAACAGCCTGTACCCCAGGACTTCCTGATAAACAATGGAAAGACAGGCATTGCATTTCCCAGTGACACAGAAGGGAGTCTAAAAATAACCACATCCTGACTAAAAATAAACTCTTGCAAATACAGTTTACAAGTCGAACCACAGCCAGGGCTTAATCCAGCTGGTGTTGTCTTAATTTAGATCCCAGCAATTTAAACTGTCATTTATAGTGACACTAAAAAATAAGACAAACAAATAAGAATGATACAGACGTTTTTCTTTCTTTTACTTTGAAGCATGGCTTTATTTCTCCACGAATCAAAATTTCATTCTTTTTATATTACAGAAAAATAAAAATTAGTAAAAAATCCATTACAAATCAGATAATGCAGAAAATGAGTGGGAATAAAAAATAATATAAATTGTAGGTAAAAAATAACTGGACAATCTTTCTGACTCAATGGTTTCTGGTAAAGTGTAAGTTCCTGCTGTCCTCACTGAAGCTGTTCCTGTCACAGTCTCTGCTCTGTCCTTTGTGAACACTCAAAGGCAGTTAGAGAATACCGCTTTTCACACAAACTTCAGATTTTCTTTTCAAACATCCATAGTTCCTTATTTATAGTTTAAAATGGCTTGCTTGTCACTTAAGCATTTGGAAACTGTTATTAAAAACCACAGTCACTGGAGAGAAGAGAGAAGAACTTTACTGAAGAATCACTTTCTAAAACGGTCCAAGCCATTCTGAAATGCTAGCACCCCCAACACAAGCCGGCCAGCTCTGGAATCCATCAGCAGTGTGACTCTCTAAATCCATCACAGACCGGCCGACAGAGTTTGAGATGGTCACTCCATTACAAAGGGATGCCTCTCCTTCAGATTCACTAAAGGAGGAGTTTCCAGGAATTCAGCATATTTAAGAAGCAAAATGTAGAGCTGGAATCAGCAAATATTTGATGTTTAGGGCTTTTCAAGAAAAGTTCCCATTTTTTCATTTCTTATTAAACAACTCAGTTCTCAAACGGCTACAAAATTAATTTTCTGGCTCACTGTGTCTGAGCTATTCTTTTTAAGTGAGGAGGGTCAGCCTTTGAGCCCTGTCACTTCTCTGACAGTTTTATTTGTGGGAGAAGAGTGCATGAGATCCCCAGCTACCAGGAAGTCAGTGACGAGGCACACATTTACACAATGGTGTTTGCATTCCTCCTCCAGGGGGTAGAAAGGCTGTGTATATTACTCTCCTTTTCAGTTCCTGGAGACCATTAATCACTGTGCCATGACATCCTCCAGCTCATGCTCCCAGCCCCCTCCTGATATGCAGATTCAAAAGCAAGGCTTACTTACAGTTCCTTGGTGCCTTGACTGACCCTTACTAGCTGTGAGAAGGGGAAGACAACCTGAAATTTAGTCTTCCATCAATGGTTGACCTCAACAGAATGCCAAATGATAGCGAGGAGCATGCTAACGGCTCACACTCATCAGTAACAAACCTTATGATCAAATATAGTTTCTTTATATTATATTTGACGTTTACATGCGTATTTTCAAGCTTGGAAAGAAAGCCAGCCAAAACAAATCCCAAAAGATTCCTCTGTTCTCTTTATTATTTTTTTTTTTTAAAAAGGTTTAATTTTTGTTTCTTTTGTGGTAAGAGCACTTAACCTTAAGATCTATCCTTTCTACCAAATGTTAAATACATGCTACAGTCCTGTTAACTACAGACCCTGCTGGACAGCAACACTACAAGTCACAACTACAACCTCTGGTTTTTGACTGACACCACTCCCACACCCTCCCCTGGTCCCTGGTCACAACTATCATACTTCCTGGCCCTGAGTTTCTGTCCTTTTGTATCTGGTTCATTTAAGGTAGTATTACAGTGTCTTCTATACCCACACTCGTTCTTGCAAACGGCAGGGTTTCCTTCTTGTCAAAGGTCGAATGACAGCACATTACGTGCACACACCTCCCACATTTTATCCGCTTACCTGCTGCTGCTGGACACTCAGGTTGTCTCCCTATCCTACCTCCTCTGTCTATCTCTGTCCTTCCCTTCCCCTATACTTTCTTTATCCATTTATCTGTTGACAAGCATTTAAGCTGTCTCCATAACCCCCTTCTCTGCTCCCTCTCTCCCTCCCTCCTCCCCAGATAGTCTGGGTGCTGGCATCTTCCTCCCCTTTGGTCCTTGCCCTTCCCCCCTCTGAAAGTTACGGAGTCAGAACAAGCTGGAGAGACATTCAGAGGCATTTAGGTAGTCTTTATGTCCCTAACATTGGGAATAGTGATCTGATGAATGTGAGTGTGCAGGTATCTCTTTAGGACAAAGATTTTTATTTCTTTTGGATATATGTCCATCGGTGTGATTGCTGGAGTAAACGGCACTCTTATTTTCAATTTTTTTAGAAGAAACTTCATTCTGTTTCCCACAAGGGCTATATTAATTTACATTGCTGCCAGGGTACGAAGATTCTCTTTTTCCACATGCTCTCCAACACCCTAGCTTTGTAGTGTTCTTTAAGCAGCCACTATAACAGATGTGAGGGGAATCTTAAGGTTTTGATTTGCATTTTTCAGAAGATTAGTGATGCTAAACATGCTTTCGTATGCATGTCTTCTTTGGAGAAATGTCTATTCAGATCCTTCGTCCGTCCTTCTTGCCTTCCTTCCTTCCCTCCCCACTCTCTCTCTTCTCTTATCCCCCCCCCCCCCCCCCCCCCCCCCCCTCCCCCCCCCCCCCCCCCCCCCCCCCCGGCTCTTAAGAGTCCTGTGCTGGGTACGGTAGCACTCAGGAGGCTGAAGCATGGGATTATCAACCGAAGACTAGTTAAGGCTACATAGTTAGTTCAAAACTAGCCTGAGCTACAAAGCAAGACACTGTATCAACAGCAAAACAAATCAAAAAGTTCCCTATATACACTTCAGATGCCTCTCCTTACCAAGGGGGCAGCAGGGGAGCCTGTAACAGCTCCCTGGTGCACAGGTGTGCTTTCACTCGGGCCGTGTCCCATGCAGTGCAGGTTTTCAGCTGATGAATCCCACCTAGCTATCCTTGCCACCAATTGTCGCCCAATCCAAGCTCTACAAGCTTGTTTACCCTACGTAGTCGAACTTTTACTGTTTTAGACTGCATAGTTAAGGCTTTAATACTCTCTTAGTTCTTGTGGTGTGTGTGTACAATGTGGGGTCATAATGTAACTTCATTATTTTAACATAGAGACCCAGTTTTCCTAACACCACTTCTTGAATAACATGTATTCTTCACACCTGTTAGTACAGCTGACTACACATTTGTAGCATATAGGTTTACTTCCAGGTTCTCTATTCTGCTTCGCTGGTCAATATGTCTATTTTCATGGAAACACTACAGTAATTTGATTACCGAAGCTTCATAATTCCTAATGACATTAGGCACTGCCATATCTCTCCAGCTTGTTCTGACTCCGTAACTTTCACTATCCGGGCCTTGCTGTGGTGGTTCACGGAGGGAGGAAGATGCCAGCACCCAGACTATCTGGCTTCCTGCTTCTCTTCATGGTGACATGGTTTGCTGACACCATAAACTAGAGTTGTCTAGGCAAAGTAGCAGGGCACGATTCTGACTACTGCATGTTAATTGATTTGTGTGATCAAAACGAATAGGGTAAGCCACAGAGACATTACGTTCAAAGCCATGTCCTATCAAGTGAGGTGGGGCACATCAACTGCAGAGAGGTACATAAAATGATCCACTGGGGTGCAGAAAAAGACAACAGACATTGGTCTAGTTCCGTTTGAAAAGTTGAAAAGAAGTCTCTCTTTGCTATTTAACCAATGCACTAACACTGGCACCCACACCTGAGTCATATGTGGTACTCCCACTCACAAACACCAGGGAAGTTGTGGAAAGAGGAAAAATTCTGGGCCACAGGAAGGGCAGCCGTGACCCCCTTTTCCTTGGTCACTCACTTGTAATCTGAATTGGTTGGTCATAATGAAGTTGGCATATGCTTAGGCAGGTTACATACTGCTTTATACTTTTGTGGGCTGCTCTCTGGGGCCGCACATATGTTAAACACGCTATCCCTGCACAAAATCTTCAGCCTTGCTTCCTAAGTTTTAAGTTGAGCCAATTCTTACAAAACAGGCAAACCACTTTAAGTGACTCCTAGGAAGGAAACCCGAACTGAAGACA